AWGATGAGGCAAGCCCTTTTTGAAGAGACAAAGTGGAAAGGAAACCATGGTAACTTTATCCCTGTTCTTGCTTATCTGTTTCTCTTTTTGCTTTGGTCTCAACTCTTCAGCTCTCATTTGACAAAACGTACTGGTTAGCGCTTGTAGATTTACATGGCAAAATAAGTCTGCTGATGTTTATGGTTCATAGGATGTGAATTTTTCTATCCTAGTTGTAGCAGTTATTCCCCCAAACATTGCGCTTAATCGTGAAGTGCCTTTGAAATCCTACCACTTAGCTCTTGCTCAATGAGTCTATCTTACTTACATGGAAACAACCCATCGTAGAAAGTTCGATTACCGCTGACTTGTTTAATCACATGGGGCTCTCTAGCATGGAACTCATTCCACTTGACTTTGATAACATCTGGACACTTTTTATTATTTTCTAAATCATCCATTGTCATCCCATCATCTGCCGTGATGTTTACGGCTGGAATTGAAATAATTTGAAGTGCCATTGGGACAAATGCTGTTACCAATACCAAAGAAGCCATGCTTTTCCCTGCAAATGAAAATAATAACAGAACGTTTGACCAAGTCTTCATTCTAAAAGGACCTTAGATACCTGTCATTGCGCCTAAATTATGTCCACTTGAATGATTTATTTCCTAGTGTTCTCTCTACAATCTGCGATGTTCGGAATATAAAAATACCTTTAACGTAAAAGAATTCTTACACTTACAAACCGCGGAGGTAGATCTTCCTCTAGTTGCTAAGGGATATCACTTCACGTTGTAAGATTCAAGAGTAATAATGGAAATCCTTATTTACGTGACTCCTCCAGTTTTAGCCGACTCCTTCAGTTTTACTCCTCGCTGTTTTTCCTTTCACTGAGCTCCGAAGCTTGGTTTTGGAAAAAGCAATGCATGCAGTGTTGGGCCAAGCCGCTAGCAATGTTTTTCCTGCATCTAGATCTATGAAAGATATTTGTACAAAGTGCTATCGGGAGCCTGGCTACATTTAATGATGTCCTGGTAACCAGCAATTCCATATTTTTATCAGACATCATGACTTTATAAAAGCTCGATATCTCCCAGACGAAGATGAATTATAAAATAACGCAAAAGGAAAGTGTTCTTGTGGCTTCTATTGTTTTTATTCTATAGACCGCACGCAGAAAACGACCGCAAGTCAGCTGTTGACAGCTGGTGTATGTGTGTTGAGTAGTAATTTCCAATCAATTAGTTCTTGTGGATTGCAATACTTTACACCTTGGAGACGTAGTAAACATGTTAAAGTTTCGAAATATTTTGCTAAAAAACTGGGTGATTTGTTCATTCATAGAGCTAAACATGAGTTTTTTTGTTTAGCTTTTACAGCGATTAAAACCATACGAAGATTAAATCTTCGAATGAAATTACTTTTTTTTTCATAAATTTTTAATTGAAAATTCTATTTCTTGCCCAGCCTTGTTTATGGAATTGAATTTAGGTAAATTTCGCCCATCGTACCATGAATTGCTAAGTTACTAAGAGGGTAGCAAGGTATCCGTTTTTGTCTAAAAAATTAAAATCTACACAGCCATTTTTACAATTTAGTGATGCGTCGATGAAACTGATATAAAAGCTGATAAAGAACATTGAAATTTAAATTTTAGTATTCTCTTCAAGGAAAACTTTATAATTTTCATATCGACACTGAGTAATTCTTGGAGATAATTAAGAAACTTAAAAATTTCAGTGATCGTTTAGAATTGAAAGATAGGAATTATATTTACAAAGCCTCTTCAAGTTGCAGTTTGTCTCACAATTTAGTCACTTCCGACGAGAATCATGTCTTTCTTTCTTTAGTTACTTACGCTTTATCCTATGAGAAATATTGTAATGTATATTATACTTCATAAGCTGACAAGTAGCCAATCGCTTGCGGTGGAAACATACATATCCA